AATCAATTAAGGTATATGACAATCGATTGTCATGCCTTGGAAACAGTTTTCAAAACTGGCACTGGCTAAGCAAACTTTCATGCAATCGATTGTTGCCATAGTGCAACCGATTGTAATGACCAAAAACTTGGAAAAAAAATCTCTGTATTTGAACCAATCACATGCAACATCTATTTAATCAACCAAGATAATAGATGAACTTTGAAAACTAATTGACATGGTTCAAATATGAAATAACTTTATCAATGAGTGATTTAAAGACTTTAAACACTAAGATTATATACGTTAAGAGTTTCATATACCTTGAAACTTGATGAATGAAGGTCTTGAATAATGTCATGATATGATCCTCTTTTCTTCTTCTTCTTTTTGATATGGAAGTAACTTGAGTTGTCTTCATCAAAACAAGTTGAAAGTTTGACTTCACACACCATACCTAATTTCTAAAAATTGAAAGAATCAAATGTGGTATGAACATCCAAATACATCAAGAATTTTTTATTTAATAAAACACACACACACATAAAGATAAACACAAGTGAAAAAATGAGAAGAAATATGACGTACCACCTTATTAGGATAGAAGGAAGATAAACTCTTTTCAAAAAGAATATTTGTAAAGAATTGCAGTTGAAGAATAGAAAAATATTACGTTAATTGAAATAAGAATAAGAATGATTAATAAAAGCGAAAATTTAAAGGAAAAAAATTATAATGTTATTAATCGATTTCATTCTATTGATTGAATACACTTCCAATTTAAAAAATAAAAAATAGACTAAATTAATGATATGAGATTAAATGAGTTGCGTCACAAGTAAGAATCCTCTTCATTTTTCAAAAGAAATAAAAATATTCATTATTATAATTTTAATGTATAAATATGTAATTAATATCACTATTTTTTTTAAATGTATCTAAATATATCTTTTGATAATTGGAGAAGATCCTTATTTTTCTATTCCATTCTTTTTTTTTTTAAACCAAAGAATAGAACATATCTATCTTATTCCATCAATTTCCATTAATCCAAATACATATATAAATATACAAAATAAAAAATTATATATAAAAAAAAAACAGAATTGCGTGAAAGAGTGTAGCACTGCAATTCAAGTCGGATCTCGGAGCATCGAAGATCCGAAACAGTTTGAGATTTGTGATTGTGATTAAAGAGAACGATCTCCGTTCGCTATTCTGGGTCAACTGAGAATAATAATAATAATAATAAATAAAGCAGGAAACTCACAGAATTCCGGCGACTCACATTCACCAAAATGAATCCGCCGCCGGCACCAATCCGGTGGCGCACAACCGCAATCTCAATTCTCGTGGTGGTTCTCATTTTCGCCTCCATTTCTCCTTCCACCGCAATCTACTGCGATTGAAGACGATTGCTATGATCTTCTCGGGTCTGCTAACCTAACCTTTCATATTCCTTTTCCCCAATTTTTTCCTTTCAATTTGTTGATTTTCATTTGTTTTTTATTGCAGGGTTACTCAGAGTGCAAATTCTTCTGAAATCAAGAAAGCATACTACAAACTTTCCTTGAAACAGTACCTCTTTCTCTCTCTCTAAGCTCGTCTTTACTTTCTCTCTCCTTATTTGATGTTATCTTAGTTGATTCATTTGTTTTTGGCTTTCTATTTAAATCAGTCATCCAGATAAGAACCCTGATCCCGAATCGCGGAAGATTTTCGTCAAAATCGCAACTGCTTATGAGGTGATTTTGTTATTCTTTTGTTAAATAGCAGCCACATTGCATTATATCTTGGTAAAAAATGCCGTCGTTTGTGATTTTGAATGATGGAATTGTAATTTCTTGACAGATTTTGAAGGATGAGGCTACAAGAGAAAAATATGATTATGCAATTGCGCTTCCGGAGGAGGTATTTAGATTTTTCTAATGCATAAGTTTGGTGTCCGTGATTTGTTCATAATGTTCATTGATTGAAGTAGAATTGAGTTTTCTTCTTTTGATTCCAGGTGTTTTATAAAACTGCACAATACTATCGGGCTTATTATGGTCATAAGACGGTGAGATTTGCTCCGTGTTTGTTGACTATTAATATATTTTGGTTGGAATTGATTTGAAGTGTTGAATGGTGGGATGTGTTTACCCTTGAATCTGATTTTGTTAGTATTTGTATACTTTAATTTTTGCTAGGATGCTCGTGCTGTATTGGTTGGCCTTCTTGTTATTCTTTCTGGTTTCCAATATCTAAATCAAACGACAAGGTATAATCAGGTATTGTGATATATTAAATATCATTTGATTTTATGACCCTGATGTGAAGTGATGTTCTGGATATTTAATTGCTTATGCAAATAATATATTGCCAAAAGTGTATAGATTTGTAATTTGTAATATGTGAAATGTGCATTTATCCCACTCTGTGGTCTAACCGGCTAGCTAATGGCTGAAGAGATGTAGTTATGGTGTTAAGTATTGTATTCTGCCGACTTGTGTGGTTATGCCTAGCAGTCTGGCACAATTTTGTTAGAGGTTTTGATTTGTACAAACCATTTCATCTGCATTCGTGGGTGTAGAACCAAATTGTCTGTTTGTGGGAACATACATTGGCAAGGAACCTAGGTCTTAAAGTTGAGTGTTGCTACAGCACATATATTGTCTGATGAATCTTGGTGGCAATTTAAGCTAAAATGTTTGTAATCTCTAGTCTTGGATGCAAGCTAAATACTTGAAGTAGATTAGGCATTTGCAATGTACCTCATTTGAAGATATGTACACTCGATTTTTGTGAATTGCTCTATTTGTTATCTGTGAAATATTTTCGGCAGATTTAAACATTCAGATTCATTGCACTGACTTTTTTTTTCTGTGTTAATTAAGGCTGTGGCCATGGTGAAGAAGACACCGGCTTATAAAAATAAGCTAAGGGCGTTGGAACTTGAGCGCAGTGGTGGGGATTACAAATAAGAAGAAGGGTCAAAAGAATAAGGACAGGTATGTTATCACTCTGATTCTGTATAGCCCTTGTATGTTACCCATGTCTACTGGCCTTCTCAATTTGGTTGTCCTCCTTGCAATCTTTCATTTCCTGTTAAATTGATTTGTCTTTGATTCATTAGATTTGGATTCATTGCCTGTAATTTCTCTACTTTTGATACACAATGTGAATGACTTTATATACAGAAAAGTTGAGGAAGACCTCAGTAAAGTGGAGGAAGAACTTGATTTGCAGATAACAGGAACAGAAAGGCCCTCAATATGGAAACTCATTGGGGGTCCGCATCATTCTTTTACCTTATACTCTAGGAAAGGTTAGTGCTAAAATAATCTATTGGAAAGTGAAATGAAATCATATACTTATAATCTCTAATTCATTAATTCTGTCCTCCATTCAGTTGCTGCTATGGTCTGGCTGTTGGTTTTTGGACATACAAGGTGAAAAAGTCCCCTTATTCTTGGGAAGATGCTTCTTATCTCACCCAAAGTTCCCTTGGTCTTCCTGATGACAGATGGAGAAGTATAGGTGATTACAATTCTCCGTGATGAACCTTCTTTAGGCACTAAGAATTTGTGTTTCCGAAACATAACCATCCTGTTTTTATTACCTGTTATTCTGGATTGTACATGCATAGTCTAACCGACTGGCATATGTCTTGAGGGTTCTGAACCTATTGAGTTTACTGATTTGGTGCCTGTATTAATAGATGATGCAACAAAGGAAGATCTTGTGCTAAGATGCTTATGGGAGAAGTCAAATATGGAGAGCTACATGACAGAGATGAGGAAAGAATCAAAGCGAAGAAGATAGCTCCTACAATGCTTCACCTTGCTTTTCAAAGGGCAAAATTTTGTTTTACTTTTGAAATTGATCTGAATTACAACGTGATAGTTAAAATTATAATACTTCAAAATTACTATTTATTATGGGGTAGTTTCATTAATATTTTTGGGGGGAGGAGAGTAAAATCGGTTTTGGTCAAACAAAATCTTATATTTATAAACAAGATGTACTAAGTTAGCACATGAAATTTAAATAGGGTTGTCCTTGACTGTCTGTAAACAGAAAATCAAAGGAAACTGGTTTAGTTATTGCTACATTCTTTTAATGTTGGTACTTAACCTCAGTCTTGCAGCAATTGCATGTTTGACAGTGGTTTCGTGCACATGTTGTTCAATAAGTAAGAAGAGTTTTATCAGAAAGCGGCATTGTTGTAACAGCATGTTTTGTGCACGTTTAGTTTTAAACTTCCATGTTTCAAGCTGCTTACTCAGTTTGTTGCTTAACAAATTTCAATTTTGAATAATGTCGAAGTTATCATAAAAATGAATGAGAAATTTGCCGATGATAATATTCTTTTATCTTCTTTTGATAGTAACTAAACACTGACAATAGTAGTTTGTGTTATAATATCATAGAGTAGTCTCTGGTTTCTCTAATCATTGTTTTCTTATACTTGGTACATTGCATTTTCAAATCTTGTGATGAAACTCATACATTTGAGAGTTCATGGCTATCACATACAAGTAGTTAGTTTGGTTGCGCACGGCAAAAATAATTGCGTTGCACGCCCATCTCTCACCACTACAATGCAACCCCACTATCATGCCTGCAACAACAAACATCCATACAATTTCGAGGCTACCCATTATCGTGCCTGCAACCACAAACATCCATACAATTTCAAGGCTACTTTATTATTGTACTTTTTAAGTAAATACATATTTTTTTATGAGAAAAACTGTAGAAAAAGGGTGATGCATTTTTACACTGTCATGACCAGTACGATGGAGTCAATTTTAGATTGTTTATTCATAATCACCATTAAAATAAAATTAATAAAAATTATCTATAAATTTCTTTGATGATGCAATGTGACACTTTAAACCCACAAAGTATGACACAAACAAGTAAAATATTTCTTCTTATGGAGATGGTACGAGAGAAGATAAAGGGAAGTAGAATAGCATCTCCTCTAACAAACTAAAAACTGGTTTTCAATGACAAACTTGTCAAAGATGACGACATTGATATCAAATAGTTTAAAATGAAGCTTCTAGTATTTTCCCTGATAATTGCTCACTAGGTTATGATCTAACAATATACGTCACGCGCTATATAAACTTACGTGAGTTTTTCAATTCAGTTATATATATAAAACACACGTTCATTTTACAACTGCACCCGCATTTCAATATACGTCACGCGCTATATAAACTCACGTGAGTTTTTCAATTCAGTTATATATATAAAAAACACACGTTCATTTTTACAACTGCACCCGCATTTTAAGATGGAAGCTTACTTTCGTGAGAGAGAGTGGAGAATCTTTCACACTGGAGTTAAATCACTTCGACACTTTCATGGAAGTCAAAAAGATAATAGAAAATTATCTTCACATTCCCATTTCCAAGCAAATTCTAATCTTCAACAACCACCTTCTCAATGACACCGACATCATCTTCATGACCAACTTCACTCCCGCCTCAACCATTCATCTCCGAGTCGCCCCCGACACTCCGATCAAGAATCCAGAACCACAAGAACCACTGACACCAGAGCCAGAAGAGGCACCAGCACCAGCAACAGCAACAGCAACAGCGCCAAAGGAAGCACCGGCGAAAGCGCCACCGAATTCAAAATCAAGAAGTTTGAGTGTGATGATGGTTCCTAGGCTAATAGAGGGGAAGGTAATTTTACCGTTAGCGATATAGAACCATTTGAGAAAGCAAGTGATTTGAAGAAGTTTTTAGAAAGTTACAAGAAGAGTGTTCTTCCGCAAGACTGTAATTATTTCTTCATTCACAATCATGAAGTTATGTTTGAAGATAGGTCGTTTGCATGGCACGGGGTGAAAGACGGCGACATCATTGAAATCTTTGATGGAGTTGTTGATAACAATTGCTTAGGTCATAGATGTGTTTAGATGAAATTTTGTGACACTTTTAGAATTAGAAACTATATTTCTCAATATTATTTTCTATGAATTATTCATATTGGTTATTCTAGAAAGTATGATTTTTTTATGATTCTGTTTTGATTAGCAGTAAATGAGACTGTGATTAGTACAAAGAATACCTAATCGTTATTTATAATAGCCTTCAAATTGTAAGTCTGTTATGTTAATTATATGCAAATTCCTTACATTATTGCTATACTCTAATGTTTTCCCTTCAAATTGTGGAAGGTTCTTCTAGGTGAGAGTAGACTTATTCACAACCTTGAGTTTGTCCCTTAGGGCTAGGAACCTGAGGGAGAATAATGGATTAGTCATAAGATTTGCATACTGATTTGTACCAGGAATGTGTTGATCAGTGAGAGTTTTGCTGCTAACTCTTTCTCTTAAAAGAAAAATATATCTAGCTCCACATGTTTAGTTTTTGCATACAAGACATGGTTATGATATAATGCCACAGTGTTTAGAATGTCACGTGATAAAGTAGGAGTAGTAAATGTTACTAGTCCAAAAAGGAAAGATTGTTGCTAGAGAAATTTAACTTTGGCTAAACTTATGTATTCAACTTTACTCCTGAATCTGATTAGAGTACTAATTAAATTTTTATATTTAACATCACTCATATTTGTTTAAGCGTCATTGATGTACTTAAATTGAGAGACAAACAAACTATCATTGTACAACTCTGGACACTTCAATTCCTAATAAGTAATTAAGGTTGTCTAACTGTTTGAGTAAAAATTGCGATGTAATTTTGAGATTAGAATTTGAATGTAAGGTTGTGAATTTCAGATTTGGATTCTCTAATTTTCAATTTTTTACCTTTCTCTAACTTTCTTTCTATCTTTCTCATGATTTACTTTCTCTCCAAAATAATCATCATCTCTCTTTTGTCTTATTCATTTTTTAACTTAAAGTCACTCTACCTTTCTCTCCCAAAAGGTAGAGAATCGTTTACATGTGAATTTCCTGTGCTAATGATGTCATCTACATAGACTAGCATGAATGTGATAAAATAAGTGTTGAGAGTGTGAAAAGATAAAGATCTCACTTGTTTGAAAGTCCAAAGCTATATAAGGTAGTTGTTAGTATTTCGAATTAGGTTCTAGGTTTTTGTTTTAGGCCATAAATGACTTTGTTTAACTTAGAACTAATGATGTGTATGCATTAAAAAATTTAGGTGGTTATTGCATATATATATATATATATATATATATATATATATATATATATATATATATATATATATATATATATATATATAAATATATATATATATATATATATATATATATATCTATATATATATATATATATATATATATATATATATATATATATATATAGATATATATATATATATATTTCTTAGAAAAGAATTGTTCTCATCGAATTGAGTGACGTGGTATTATCTAGAGATGGCAAGGGAGGAGATAATTCTCACCATAAAGGTTTCCCTATTAGAGAAAAGGTCTCTTGAAAATCAAATTCTTGTTGATGATACCTTCTCTAGATTTTGGTTTAATCGTAAAGACCTACTTATATCCCCAAACTTCGGATGTGGCATATCCGAACTTACCTTATTTGTCAAGAATAAGTGCGTTCGCATGTGCATATCTGAAGTCACAATGATTCATTTTTTTATTAAATTAACTTTGCATATGCATATCCGAAGCCACCTGATTACCTATTTCGGATATGTATATCCGAATTTATCTCTGGAGCAGAAGAATCAACATAATTCATAACATAGATTCAACATAATTAATCGAAATTACATATATAGTTCTACAGAAATTTAAAATTACATATTGTTATAAACGGGTAGTTGAGGACGTTGCAACATTTTGATAACATCTTCTTCTGATCTTTGAAGCTTCACATCCATCCTCAATCGAACCCTTAGAAGAGTATCGAAAAGTACTCAACATAACCTCTAAATCGTCGTTGTTCTTGAGCTCCAATGAGGTGAACTTTACGTTTTCTTCAGTGTCAAGTGAAGGTGAACGATACTCAAGCTTGACCACCTTTCAGTTCTCTGGATATTGCAAGAGAGAATTCAGTATGATAATAAGCTCGGCGAACAGCGTGTCCTGCGAGAACCTGAATTGAAGTGGTGACTTCGCACCACTGAAGTAGATAAAATCAAGGTGATGATATATTTAAGATGTTGATGAAATGGTTTGGAGACCCTATTTATAGACTTTATGGAGCAATTTGGACCCAAGAAATCTTATCTACTGCATATGTATAATTCGGAAATGCACATCTGAAGGAACCATATATTTAAAAAAAAGACATCAGAGCTTATTTCGCATATGCACATCCAAAATAACCTCTATGCTATTTTCTATAGCAGGTTGATTCGGATGTGCAAATGCAAAATAAGCCCTGATGTGTTTTTTTTAACATACAAGGTTTTTTCGGATGTGCATTTTCGAATTATGCAGATGCAGTAGATAATGTTATGACAAAATTAGTAGCATAGAAACATAGAAATAAATAAAATCAGTAATACTAAACAACGGTAAAATGAAATATAGATATATTATATATGTATTGAATCATATAGATTTTACACTCTACACGACAATACATTCAAAAATGATTTGATACATTCTAAAATACACCGAAACGAAATTCTCACGCTTAAATTAAAACTAGATCTTTCTTCGACTTCTCCCTATTTGCTTCTCTCTCAAGCTCCATCAACTTGGTGAACTCCACCATCCTTTCAAAAAAGGGATTCTACCAAGTTTCCGCCTCTTTTACAGAATGTGTCTTCCACTCCATTGATGTAGCCGAAATAAGATACCCCGATTTCAAAATAAACTTGAACAAAATGGCATCATCTATGGTACCTGTTGTACCCCAAAATTTTCCCTCCATACTCTTCAAGATTTGCCAAGATCAAGCTTCAAAATCTCTCAAAGGTTGCACAGTCCAATTGCCTCCCAACACAGTCAAAATTAGGGTTTTGGTTCTTGCAAAGAAATTGAGGTTTCCAAGGGTCCAATCAAGTCCCATATGCCTACATACATTTTCAAGCATCCATATGTCAAGTTTCAAGACTCACAGCATCAAGTTGCACAGTCAAAAACCCTAAATGCTCCACAAGTCAACTGTAGGGGCAAAATGGTCATTTGACAGTCAAAAGTCAAAAATTTTGGTCAACATCTTATTTTGAAGCCACAAACATCATTTGATCAATTCTTGATCATGATTCTCAAAGTATGGCTCAAAAAGTCTCAAGATGCAAAAGTTTCTATTTTTGGACAGTAGAAAAGTCAACTGCAAATTGACCAAGGCATAACTTCTTCATGGTTCATCAGAAAAATCCCATTCAAAGCTCATTTTTAAGAGGATGACATTTCCTACAACTCATCTTCACACTTCAAGTCCAAGAAATGCTCTCACAAAAAGTTATCAATTTCAACATTATAGGTCATTTTCAAAAGTCAACAAAAAGGCACTTTAAGTCAAAGACCATAACTTGAGATTGGTAAATCAAAATGACATGGGACCAAAGTCATTGGTTAAAGGACTTCAAGACCTTTCCAAAATGTTCAAGAACATGATCATAGCTTCAAAATTGAGCAAGATATGCATTGGAGAAGTTGGGAAATTTTTGGGAATTTTGAAAAGTCAACTTTGCCTAAAACACTTCAAAATTTGCTAATGGGCCTCAAATTCTTCCTTGAAACATTACCCAAAGACTATGCACGACCCATTGAGCTTAAAAGGATTTATTTTCTTATTTTTAATTAATTAATTGAATTTTTATTCTTATTAATTCATTTAATTAATTTTAATTGTAGAAATATTCAAATAATGCTTTCAAATCTTTTTGTGCAGCAAATCATACTAGGGGCAAGCTGGCAAGTCGTTTCACATTCAAAAAGGGAAGATTTTCCATGATTGGCAAGGGCTTCCATGAAAAAAAGATTGAAAAAGATATGATAAAAATCAAATATTGAAATCATCAATTCATGGACTTATGGGCTTGTTTCTTGACCTAATTTCGTTCATATACTTATGCATAACCTAACCTAATGGAGACAGACACGAAAAAGCTGCAAAAGAGCCATAACAAAATTGCAAACTTTTCATAAAAACTTGGAAACTAAAATCACACTTGCAGGGCGATTCAAGGCTTGAAACCTTCTCCATTGCGTTGCTGGACCTTCAGGAAACTATTGGCATCAAGAACAAGTCTCCATACTCAAAGAAACGGTAGAACAGCATCGCGTTTTTCACAAAAATGTCCATAATCGAATTTTAATTTCCACGCATCATTCATGTGTTTTGAGTATTGATTCATGCTACTAATGATCTTCTGAAACTTTTGGCATAGTTTAATTGTTCTAAAGATGCTTGTATCAAAATCTGCCATGGATGAAACCTAGGGTTTCAGAAGCTTCAAAATAGGGCTTCTCGTATATGGTAAAATTAGACCACCAGACCTATACAACTGAATTCGTGGCAACAAGATGAATCGTTTGAGACAATCGCGCCCTTTTTATATTAAGGCATCTTCTATTCGCTATTTTTCGTGGCTGTGCTTAGCGGGGGTTTAAAACCCCCGCTACTTGTTTATGTTGTAGGTATAAAGATGAAGAAGAAGCATGCGTTGTCTTCATGTGATAGGAGCGTTCAAATATCTGGCGCGTTTTTTTGTTTTATATCACTAACCATTGTCTTTTTATATAATATTTGTTTTTCATTATGTATACAAATGCGTTGCCTAGCTTCAGATGGTGGAGGACATGTGTTGCAAGCCTTGGGACCTGGGTTCGACTCCCAGGTCCTTCCCATATGCTTAATAATTTTTGTTTCAATGTGTTCTAGTCAGCACTCATTCCATGGCCTACCATACACGCCCATGCTTAGGCCTGCCAAGTGGACATGATGATTGATCCAAGGGCCACTGAACGAATTCCAGGGTGTACCCCAGTCAACCACGCGCACTC